AACAAGGACATAACTCAGGCTAAGCTCATTTGAAGCTGGCCAATGACCACAAACCTCCGTGTCTGTGTAGAAGAGAGGCAGCCGCACAGATCTGCTCTGAGAGACAGGTCCATTACTCACTGCTCCAACCATGCCCATCGGATGTTAACGCTTCACTCCAACATCTCCTGCTTACCAAGGACTCATGTGCAGCGTGAGGAGAACAGGAGAAAGTGTCCACTTGTTCGCAGTGTCCTCTGGCTGTTGCCCTCTGGGTAATCACCTTGGCCAAGTAGCGCAGTAATTACTGAAGTTGCCTAATGCACACTTTCCATTATTCATTTTCATTAACTTCGGGTCTACACTTGATGACCCCATACCATTATATGTAAATATGTATTTTGTACTTCTTGTATGAATAGCTTCGCCCTCCTCCTCATTCACCCGGCGCAATTTTTGCACGGCTTTCTGTACGTGCATTTCTTCATTCATCGGCGGATTAAGTCGCTGTGACCAATAGACACTGTGATCTCCTTTTTCAAGCCTTATCCAGACCAGGAGTGAATAGTAATTGAAAATGAATTTGCACTGCCTGAACAAATAGCTTGATTGACAGATCTTTTTAAATCGGGGTTTCTAAAGCTACCATATCGAGGCCTTAGCAAAACAGTGAGCTGGATCTCTGGCACATAGCGATTAAGAATGTGTCTATGAGGATTTGAGAGGAAATGAGAAGAAGATGTGATGTAGGGACACGAAAATCTAAATCCACGCTGAATAAAGATGAGGAGAGAAGTTCCAAAAACATACATATATATAGTTTGAGGTATGTGTTGAGAGGGGGAGGGAGGAAGAAATGCTTTTGTTTTTGGAACGTTTGTCCATGCTATTCATATGCAAAGTTGAGAAAATGAGACATATGGGTGCAGCCATGGGGAGGCATTTTCTGGAGGCATACACAGACAGGAGTGTTTGACAGGTTGGGGGGGGGGGACATCAATCATGCAACAGCTGTGAGCAGTGCTGGGCAGAGCTGGGGGCTGGAAAGGGCAGTTATGAGAAGACTCCTCCTCAAACCCCCCCGCGCCCCTTCAAAATGTGCCAGCTCAACAAGTTGATGTCCATCAGAGGGTCCCCCATGCCTCAAGTAGCTGGGGTCTGTGAAAGGGCTGCAGAATGTCGGGTTGTGTTGCAACCAGATATCAGAAACACGTTGACTGTATTAGGTTAGAAGAAAGCAATAATATTCTGTTGAACAAAATAATAGGTTGAACTTAATATGATTGCTTTGAACTAACCTAATACAGTTATGTGAAATCTGCTGACATAATACATTTCATTAAAGTCAATGTTTAAGATTTGACAGTGCAGTCTTAAACTCCCAGATTTACCTCAATAGGAATTTAAGTTTAATCCACAATGTCCTCATTCTATACTTCTATTGTTCTTTTTTGTATTTAATACTGGAAAAATAATGTCTTACAACACTTATTGAAAGGCTTGGCCAAGGAAAACAATCGATTTCATTTCAAAACAGAGCACAGAGGAGTGTTCCCGCTGTAGGCCTCAGTCTGTCTGCCAGAGCCTCCTCCGGTCTGCACAACTGATCCTGAGTCTGAGCGTGGACGTGTTGCCTCTGGTCAAAACATAGCTAGCCAACAAAACATTAGCATGGACATCACAGCTGGTGTGCAAGTCCACCTTAAATGGTTAGTGACATAAAAAAGGACATTCTGATATCACAATATGTATAGAGTTTGAATATATATGATATGTACTTATAGATAGGAATTAGCTTTATAGATTGCTTAGCAGATAGCTTTGCATTTCTAAAATGCAAATGCAAATTTGATTATTACTGCTATTTCTGCACGCAGCTGATTTATCCGACCAGATATTCCATCCATTCATTATCTATATGCAAGTTTATTAAGGGGGTTGGGGGCTAAATGTATACATAGACAATAGAAATGATAACTAAAACTACAGAAAAAATAACCAGATTGGAATTAAGCATATTTTTTAAAGATATACTGTATGCTTGGAAAGAGCTCAACATATCTTGAATACCAGACTATAGTTCACTTGGATGTTATAATTGGAAATGATCAAATGTCCCAGCACTTATCAATGCAGTTGGGGTAACACACATTTGACTTCTCTTTGTTCAACACAGTCTAAGTGCTTTCCTGTCATTGTAATCCATGTCCACGTGTGCAGAGGCCAACATGGGCCTTTAGCTGGCAGAACACATTTTTAGCTCGAAGCAAATCCATGATTGAATTCAGTGTGGTGCTGACGTAGTATTGAGATTGTGTTTATTGCAACAGCAGCCAGGGGCCCTTCAGATAAAGAACACATATTCTTCCACCTCTTCTTCCCTTCTGCTCCCCTCACACTGCAGCCACATCATTAGAGGCGGGGTCACGGGGTCACAACACACATTTGTAGAGCCAGGATTACCTCATGGGCGATTTGAATACCACTCACCCCTGCCCCCCCCTCCCAACTGCTCCCCAATTAGAGCCCAGCCAGCTAATAGGCTGCGGAGGGTTGAGGCGGCCTGGAGCACTGAAGGCCGATAAGCGGCGGATTCTTCTCTGCTAAGCTCAGATTTACTCAGGTCTCACAACTCCGCACAGAGTGGGGATGGGCTTTGAAACATGACCTAGAAACGATCCGCTACTAAACTATGTTTTTTTTAAACTTAATGTTATTGCTTTCAACTAACCTAATAGAGCTATGTGAAATATGTTGACATAAAACAATTAATTAAAATCTACGTTTCAGTTGTTTCAGTGTTCACACAGTTGATGAAGCTGGAAATCTAAACTGTGCCTACATTTATTCTATATCAAAGCACAAAAACACACTCACCAATGCATCGGAGGGAAGCTAGCAAGTGATAGAGACATTTCAGGCTGTGGGGGCTCTGGCAGGCTAATCCGTGAAATGAAACTTGACTGGGAGGAGGGGTGAGGGGAGAGAACACGACAAGATAAGACAGAGTGGGGCAGAGAGAGACAGGGAAAAGAAGAAGAAGAAGGAGAGCGACAAGCCCCTGAGCTATAGGGACGAGCAGACAGACCGTCAGCCAGGGCTTAGGCTGCGGCGCAAATCTGTGAGTTTCATGTTCCTGAGTCCAGACCCAACATATATGGAGAAACAGAGTGGGCCCAAGGACCAAAAAGAAGAAGTGTGATTCAAAAGAAATGCGAAGAATAGTCCTTTCACCACGTCTGAAGGGAAAGTGAAGATACCTGAGTGGAACAGGCAGGAGAAATATGTCTGTAGCCTTCTCTCTCATGGTCATGTTTCTCTCTTCAGTGATCGTGATCGTGTCTTAGTATTTGTCCCTGTTGATGTTACAGCTGGAGCTGCTGTGATGCAAGAACAGTTTCAGACGCGACCTGACAATAAAGTACACTGAAAAACTGAAACATTGACTTTAATTAAATATATTTTGTCAACAAATTTCACATCAATGTATTAGGTTAGTTGAAAGCAATAATATTAAGTTGAACCTAATATTTTGTATTGAAACTAAAAGTCATTGCCTTCAATGAACCTCATACAGATGTGACATGTTGACATTTTCATTGAATTCAAGTCAATGGTTCAGTGTTTTCAGTGTATTATCGTATCATATTGTATTTTCTCCATATACCACACATGATGATGGTTACAGCTAGCGATGTAGAGGTCGTTTCTTGCTATGCGAGAATACACAACTTGTGGAAACCAGCACATGAAAGAGAGCTACAGTTATTAGGTGATCTGACAAGCATTCAGTTTGAAGGAGTCCTTTAGTGTAAGAATATAAAAGCTTTCAGTGTATCAGATAAACAACAAAAACGAGTCACACAGATCCAGGGTCAGTGTAATCACATTTCCTTTCACCCCTTGTTGCCAAAGTATCGCTGCTTTGATCTGGAGCACCTGCGACCCTCAGGAGAGCGGCACGAGCAAAGTGAGATGTTATCATCGCTTATACCGTGGGCCGTGGAGATGCTATAATAAAAGCCCCTCAGAATCCGACCGGGAACTGTGTGTGTGTTTGTGCGTGGGTGTCCAAGTGTGTATCTGTGGAGGAAGGGGGCGCACCTTCCTCTTTGTCTGTGAGGATGACTGAGAGTCAGTGCCAGGCTGGAGTGTTGCTCAGCAGTCACTCCTCTCCACTTCACCTGCCACAGGTGGCTCTTTCATCTCCCCGTCCACACTCTGGCTCTTATCTGCCCCATAGTCATGAATATGGATGTCTCTGTTGAGCCTCACTTCTAATGGGGGGAACAGGGAGAAACAAGTGCTGCATTAATGAGTGCACATATTGTGGTAGCAGTTTGGGCTCTATGCATATGCATGACCTATTTTGTGAGTTAATGTGACAAATGTAATGAGTTGAGAGACCCTCCCCAAGATTCCCTCAAAGAATATATCCTGAACAGTTTGCACTGAAATAACTGAAATGGTGACTTTGATTAAATGTATTATGTCAACAGATTTCACATAACTATCAGGTTAGTGCAAATAAATAACATTACCTTTAAATAAAAAACATTAGGTTGAACTTAATATTATTGCTTTAAACTAACCTAATACAGTGATGTGAAAGTTAGGTCAACGTTTCCGTTTTTTCAGTGCCTGGAAACAAAATGAAGATGTTCCTAAAACATTAATAAACAAAGAACACAAGTCATATAATCTTTACTGCGTGAGGAGGAGTTTATTTATATCAACATCTGGGCCATAAAAGGCAACCGCCTGGAATTTGAAAGATGAAAGCAGCAATTAGTAATTCATTGTTTTACGAGATGAGCTCATGGCTGTTCACAGGCTCCGTGGTCCTGTGCACACTGAAGCGTGGAGCTGCTGGTTATATGTCAAGTGAAGCTGAATATGGCAGTTACAGCGCGGCGATAATCCAGGTTTAAATCTCCTTCATAAATTCTGTGGGCAAGTCAGTCTTTTTTTGGAGGACATTAACTTTAAGTGTCCTGCTGTCTGCATGATTTACCTCTCTAAGGCAACCCGGTGAAGCCACTGTTTCCAGCGGGGAGTGTTGAATGTTTCTAGGAACAGGAAAATTTAGAGGGCTTCTGATTCCCCCTGTAACCAGGTCTCAATCATTTCCATAGCAGCTGCAGATTTTATGCTGTTAACAATCGTTACGTAAACACAGCCCTTAGTCCATCTGGATGAATCAGCAGCTATATTTACATGCACGAGGACAATGTAAAAGAAGGGCCTGCTGCAGCTCTGTGGGTCAGTTGAACTGTTTTGGTTTTACGATGGGCAACTTTCACTGCTCCCACCGTCCTCATATCCAGCAGCACCGGGCCACCTTTAAACTGGCTGCACCAAACAGCAGACTGTTAGAAAGAGCTGGGTAACATAGTGGAACAGTTAGCAGCTCACGTTACTTTTTAGAAGGGCCAACACAGACCATTCACCAGCAGAGTGAATATACATATATTTACCAGGTGGGACATTTTTATTGATTTACTGCCATATCTGTTCCGTGTGTGCTGGATGTGTAAACGGGGAATAGCTTGCCCTCAAGTGATTACGGGAACAGAAGATTTGGCGTTCTTTAATTTGATTGATCTTAACGTAGAAGAATTTTAGAACTTTAAGATCAGTTCATAACTTTTCAATTAGCAGGACTCGCAAGTAAATCGTTGTTTCTAAGTTAAGAAGCTTCAGGTATGACTTCCAATGTGTCACACTGCCTGTTATAACACGTTGAGTCAGTATCATGCTCATGCATCATTTCAATCCATGATTAAAGTGTTTTAAAACAGGAAATTCAATGAGAGATAACAATAAGCTAACCATTGTTTTTAAGTGTCGTAGTTAAGCTAACAATCAGTTGGACATTAAGTCTTACGACAAAAGAGACTAAATGTTTGTGTTTGTGACAACAAGGCAATTATTTGGGCCTTACTTTAAGCTGGAAAACTCCTTACACTGTCGAATCTGGTGATCAATGTAATTAGAACTCTGGGCTCCGCTCCCTGATTCTCTGCCTCCTCACGCTGACCTTGGTGCTGCCAGAGCTGACTTTGTCCGTGCACCTGTACTTTTTATGCTTCTCTGGATCTGAGTCTTATTATAATTGAGTGTCAGTGTGTGGCTGCGGGGCGGGAGCTGGCATGTCCTGCATTGTGTTTTTCTCTCTCAGAGAACAGTGGAAGCACCGATTCAGTCAATGCACACTCTTGGCTTCTCCTGGCACTCCGTTGTATAACTTTAGCTTCCTCTGTGTCCACCTCTGACAGGACCTCCCTCGGCGCCTCAGAACCTGGTCTACAACATCAACCAGACCTCCGTCAGCCTGGAGTGGAGCCCCCCGGCCGACACCGGGGGCCGCAACGACGTGACGTACCGGGTGATCTGCCGGCGCTGCAGCTGGGAGCCGGAGGAGTGCGTCCAGTGTGGGCCCAACGTGGGCTTCTCCCCTGCGCAGGCCGGATTAGTGGAGTCCTACGTGAGCATCATGGACCTGCTCGCCCACGCCAACTACACCTTCGAGGTAGAGGCTGTCAACGGGGTGTCAGAGCTGAGCCGCACGCAGAGGCTGTTCGCCGCCGTCAGCATCGCAACCGGCCAAGCAGGTAAGACCTCTAACATCCAACTCATCAGCAGTGGATCCTGTCTGTTTGCTCCGTACACACAGAGAAGTCAAACTGACCAGAGGTGGGAAATAACTAAGTATATTTACTCAAGTACTGTACTTCAATTTAATGCTACTTTATACTTCTACTCCACTACATTTAAAAGGTATATCATTTCATTTTACACCACTACAATTATTTAACAGCTTTAGCTACTTGTAACACAATGCTTCCCTAAACATTTAACTAGTGGACTAACTCTTTCAGTCACAAAAGAGTCAAATTATTGAAATACTTTCCAAAAAGTCAATCAGAGCTTTGTTTGTCTACAACAGTCAAATGCAAACGACGGTAATGATTCCTCATTAGCATTGATGACCATAGTCTGATCAAATCCATAATACGTATCCAGTATGCATTACCCGGATTCATTGAATGTGTGTATCAGCACTACAGTGGCCAACATTATTAGCTTAGCGATGAAGTGAACCCCCAGTGGTACGTAAAGAGCTCACTCTCTGGGGAATGGACTGTCATTCAAATGCTGTATTTTCCAGTGACAAAGTCTAAAGCCCTTTTTTATTCATTATTTCTATGGATCCACCAAACAAGACTCCTCTTTCATGCTTGAGCATCCATGAAACACAGTTGGCCCAAAAGAGTGTTCTGACTGGGGTGATTAAAAAAGGCTGCATAGAGAGCAGGGGAGCTTCAGCTGGATGTAGAGCCATGTGTCAGCCAATCATGTCCTGCCACATCATCGGTTCTTTACATAATGTCACCATCTTAATGTAATGTAAAGCCAGAGGAGGGAGAAGTACTCAGAACTTGTACTTAAGTTAAAATAGAAGTACCAGAGTGTAGGAATACTTTTAAGTACAAGTCCAGAATTCAAAAAGGTCACTCAAGTAAACTTAGAAAATCATTAGCATCAACATCTATTAAAGTAGTCATTGTGCAGATTGGTCCATTTCAGAATAATATATATGATATGTTTTATAATGATTGATCATGAAAGTGTTCTCAAAGCTGGTAAAGGTGCAGCTAGTTTGAATGACTTTGTATACTGCAGGGTAGCTTGTGAATTTACTCCAGGTGGAACTAAAGTCTGATTTAACACTTGATTATATTTCACATCATTCATCCAGATCTGTAAAGTAACTAAAGGTATTAAATACATGTAGTGGAGGAAAAGTACACCATCTACCTCTGAACTGTAGAGGAGTAGAAGTACAAAGTAGCAGAAAATGGAAATACTCAAGTAAAGTACAAGTACCTCAAAGTTGTACTTAAGGACAATATTTGAGTAAATGTCCCACCCATGTGTAAAGCTGCTCAGCTTCCACTCATCAAACATGGGGTTTGCTATAAGCACAGTAAATATCTCTGTGTACTCGATGTGTGCATCTGTGATAGAGACAGGAAGACAGGGGCCTCCAGCTGTATGGGCGTGTGTGTGTGTGTGTGTGTGTGTGTGTGTGTGTGTGTGTGTGTGTGTGTGTGTGTGTGTGTGTGTGTGTGTGTGTGTGTGTGTGTGTGTGTGTGGTGTGTGTGTGTGTGTGTGTGTGTGTGTGTGTGTGTGTGTGTGTGTGTGTGTGTGTGTGTGTGTGTGTGTGTGTGTGTGTGTGTGTGTGTGTGTGTTGTGTGTGTGTGCTGCAGCGTTTGGGTTGATGTTTTCCTCCACGCTCGGCTCGTGACAGAGAGATGCGCTGGAATGTGCCAGAGGGTCGCCTGGCCAAGGACACTCGGATGGCAGGAAGTGGATAACCTGCAGGGAAAAAGCCAGAGACAAAAAACAATTAAAAGCTGCTCTTGAAGAAGTCACTCCTAATTACACGTGGCATGTTGACAACAGTCAATTACGCAGTTAACCCGGCGGAATATTATCCATTAGATACTGTGAAAGAGAGTTGTGCTTGGCCAAGATGGTGTCATGTTTATTATTTTGAGTAAGTGCTGTCACTTTAGGTGCTATTACTCTCTCATCAGTGTAACGGCCAGCATGGGTCAGGTTGCTGGTTATTTTGTTGATCGATTTCATTCAAGTTTTCAAATCTTATATTTTTTCAGTCAATCGACATCTATATTCAGAATCAGAATCAGAATCAGAATATATATTATATATATATATTCTCACTATTGAGACCATGATACAAAACGAAATACTCATTTGAAAAGCAGACTGATCATATTCCTTCTGGATGAGCAGCTCTTTAAAGCAAGGAGGCCCAGTCCATCTGTTCAGTGGTAGGACAGCTCAGGGAGAGATGTACCTTCAGAGTAGGCAGGAGATACAGGCCATGGATAAACACACAATACATGTTGTGTGTAAATTAGAAAGATAATTCATTTATCAAAATCATTTTCTCTGTCTAACCTCATCTCTAGTGCCAGTTAATAACCAGCGTTGATCTTGATGGTCATGTGATGGCTTCCTGTTGATTCCCTTCTCAGCAGACTTTAGCTCCCCTCGCTGAGTCCAGCGCTCTCTGGGCTTGAGCTTTATGTAATTGGAACGTCGGAGCTTCCTAAAAAACAATCGGTCCTCCCTGAACGAGCGTGCAGGACCACTCATTAGAGAATGGCTGCATTATTAAAGCTTTTATGGCTTATCATTCAGAATTGATTAACCTTTGCATGGCGAGAAGCTGGATCCTATAGCACCGAGAGAACCTTAAAAAGAGAAGCCTTTCCTCCGTGCCTCCCTACCTCCTCCTCATGCATGATAATCAGCAGGAACATAGTCCCGTAGCCTGGGACTGGGGGAATGAACACGCAGTGTGTGAATGCAGATGGTGATCCATCTGATGAGGAATTCACACCTCTCCTAATTACAACAAAGGAAAGGTCTGGAGCTGCACGAGGTGCTGAGTGCTTATTGTTCCCAGAAACCTAATTACCTCTCAGCTCCGTCTTAAATGAGTTTAAGTAGAGGCTGCGAGTTCATAAGCCTGATTTCTGCAGCTCAGTCCTTGCAGCGCTTGAATAGAAATTGGTCATGTTGAGAATTTTTGCCGTCTTCACCCTCGATGTATGCTGGAAGTTAAGAGTGTGTTTCAATCAGCACTCTATTGTGAGTCGGCAGCGCCACGGAGCCCCCTCAGAGGCCCTCCATGCCTGAGCGTTCCTCAAGCATACTTGTAAACAAGGCCTTTTGTTCTTCCTGCACATTTGTGAGTGGGCACTGCTCATGGAATAACCATTAATATTTATTCAAGCGGATGCTCACATCTCTGTGCCAGAAAAATCACTGTGGAGAAGGTGCACAAATAGGATGTGAAATTGGTTATGGGAAAGGCGACAGGACCTGTGTGTGTGTGTGTGTGTGTACATACTGCATGAACATGCTCAGCTTGGGACCAGTGCAATGGGGTTTAGGTGCGATCAGAAAGAGCTATAAACAATATAATGAGAGAAAGGAAGAGCCTGTGGAAATAGATTTTCATTTGGAATGCTTGCACCATCCAGCAGCACGCAGCCTGTTACACTGCGATAGCAACTTTTACAATAGTGCTCTGAAGTTTACACATGGGTGAGTCAGAGCAGAACACAGTGGGTGTGGCTTAGCAATGCATTATTTAGACTATGGTGAGTTTGTCTAGAGATTTCACAGAACGCTGTGGTCGTCCAGCAAGACTCATTTCAAAATGTCAGTATGTTGCCTTTTTGCCGGTCAGATAAATGAGTCCATTTGGTCATTTGACAGAGAGAGCCACAATGCTTGCACAATATTTTAAAACCTGCAAAAGAAGGCTGTTCTCTCACAGGGTGTGTCACTGTTGGCTTTTAACATATATTTTCCATTGAAGCCTAAAAAGAGCAACACTCCCCTTTTTACACAAACAAATGCATACACCACCACGGGAAGCAACCACACACACCCCTGATGCGCCCTTCATATTGTGATGTTGCCATTGTGACTTCTCTGTAAAGGTTACTGGGCCACGGGCACTCACCTGGAGTCTGAACGGGCCATGTAGAAGCTGCCATTCTCAAATTAAGATCAACATACACATGATCAGGTAGAGAATGTTAAACCTGGCTTCCTGGGAACATTTATTCACACTTTTTTTTAAATAGAAGATTTTTTTATCAGCAATTTCTTAGTGTTTCTTCTTTTTTCTATTTTTGTCTGCATTTGTTGTGCAACACCGTGTGATATAAGAGGATGTTGTAATCTCCCTCAAGTTCAAACCTAATTGCCCATTCAAAGACAATTTCCCCATCCAATCCCTCAATGCGAAAGGGAAAAAAAGCATCGAGGCACACAAGAATGTAAGCTAAGCATTTGACTTTGATCTGAAAAGCCCCCTTGCCGTTACTTTGCGTGAGAAGCAGATATTCCGTTTTGTTTGGCTGCCACTGTCCTGCAGCAGATTTGCGTCTGGACTTCAGAGAAGGAGACAGCAGAGTTTCTCGCCTCGAGCCACGATCATTCAAATAATAAATGCTCATGGGAGTAAATTGATACCCCAGATCCACAGTGGTAATCTATACGGCCACTTTATTGACACTTTATCATCACTAAATGGATATTGTTCAGTGCATTTGTGAAAGTAACACTTGGGGAACAATAGGGCCATTGATGTATTCCTCTTTGTGTTCTAATCTGCCATGGTGGCCTTAAACAGAAGGATTGATTGATTGGGAGCGGTCCCCGCTGACCACTGCCAGCCAGTGTCATTTCTGAGTTAAGCGGATCCTCCTTTGTAGCATTTGTCCCCGGTTTTACGTTACCTGGGAGCCCATTCTTTTCACCCCCCACCCTCCACTGCTCCACATGCTCGCAGTAATTTGATGAGAGCTGGGCAAAGCAGTACGATTCAACAGCTGCAATAAAACTGGTGATCTCAGAGCAGCAGCTCGGAGCACTTAACCTGTAGCTTTTCTGTAAATGCCTCCTGATTTGTCTGTCACCCAATCCGTCAGCAATGAATAATTTTCATGGAAGGTGCACTTTAATTACTTTCCCATTTAAATGGCATTATCGTGGCCTATCT